GCACCCCCCACGAAAGAGGAGGCCAAGAGCCCAGCTGTCAAGTCCCCAGAGAAACCCTCAACCCCCTCGAAAGAGGAGGCCAAGACCCCGGCTGTGAAGTCCCCAGAGAAACCCGCACCCCCCTCAAAAGAGGAGGCCAAGACCCCGGCTGTCAAATCCCCAGAAAAACCCCCAACCCCCTCAAAAGAGGAGGTCAAAACTCCAGCTGTGAAGTCCCCAGAGAAACCCCCAACCCCCTCAAAGGAGGAGGCCAAGACCCCGGCTGTGAAGCCCGCCGAGAAAGTCAAATCTCCTGTGAAGGAGGAGGCCAAGTCTCCGCAGAAGGAAGCGGCCCCGGCCAAGGAGCCCACCCCCTCCCCGCCAAAGGAGCCGAAAGCCCCTGCGAAGGAAGAGCAGCCCAAGGAGGCGAAGGGTCCCTCCAAGCCCGGAGCTGAGGAAGGCAGCAAAGAGGAAGCTCCCAAGAAGGATGTCCCGGCCAAGGTGGAGGAGAAGCCCAAAGAGAAGGCGGCTGCTGTGCCGGAGCCTCCAGCCCCACAGGTGAAGGAGACTGCCAAGCCAGGCCCCAAACCTGCGGAAGAAGGAAAGGCCGAGAAGGAGGCTCCACCAAAACCTCAGCAGGAGGTCAGCAAAGTGGCTGCGAAGGAGGCTGAGAAGGCAAAGGTCGAGGAGAAGGTGGACGAGCCCAAGAAGGAGAAGGTGGACGAGCCAAAGAAGGAGAAGGTGGAGGAGCCCAAGAAGGAGAAGGTGGAGGAGCCCAAAGCTAAAGCGAAACCCAAAGATGAGCCCAAAGCCAGTAAAGAGCCCCCCAAGGCCGAGGCCCCCTCCAGCAAGGAGGGCAAAGCCCCAGAGCCGGCGCCTGCCGCGGGGAAGAAGTGAGCAGAGCCCCAGGCGCCGAAGAGCACCTCTGGGCGCGGGAGCCGCTCCGCTCCCCACCGACGGCAGGGCCCCCGGGCTGGGCCCCCCCCCCCCCCCGCCGGGCCGGCCTTTACCTTAGCAATACGTCCGTGCGAGAGACGCAGCCCCTCGCTGCCCTGCCCCAGCGGTTTGGCCGATAGCTTCCCTAGCTGAATGTGATATACGCCCAGCGCCACGCGTAAACACTCGAATTATAACCGAGAAGAGACCCCCGGGGAACCGACCGCCCTCCTCCAATAAGTGCATTTATTTAAGGTATGCGCAATCGATGGATGAGCGCAACGCAGAGCTCTAGCTGCTTGGGACGGGGGCTGGCGGGGTCCTTCCCCGGCCTGGGGGGTGACGACCGTCCCTCCGAGCGGCGACCCAGGCCGCAGCCAGCTTTGGCGGGAGAGGCTGGGCGCTGCGGGAACGCTCACAGACACACGGTGCACTCGGAACCTCAGCCCACTGTTATTTGCTTTCTGTGCAATAACCAAATAAAAGTGCTTACAGAGATGCCCCGGCTCTGCTGGCCTCCTGTCGGGGTGCGGGGGGAGGAAGAGGCGGTGAAGGAAGGCAGGAAAGCCTGGCCTGGGGGCGGGGGGGCGGCTGGGATCTGCCACCCAGGGCTGGGTGGTGGTGGTA